CTCCCCCGATACCGGAAGGAAGAGACACTGGCCGGTACCGAAGGAGCCCTCGTCTCCTAAGAAGCTCCGGCCACGGCGCAATACTTCTGACCAGACGCGTCCTTCTGCTCTGGTACAGAACAGTGCCCCGCCCCGTATGGCACCCGATACCGCCGTCGGTACCGTCCCACCCGGTACCGATACCGCGCTTCCGAAACGCAAGTGCCCCCACGACCCGGTACCATCGCGGCCATGAAACAAGAAGCATTGTCATGCCTCTTCTGACTCTGACTCTTTTCAGTTGGACATTCTCGATACCGATACCGACCCTGATACCGGTCACGGTACCGGGAAGCGTACTGATACCGGGGCGAAAAAGAAGAAGCACTCCAAGAAGAGCGGGAAGGAGATGCCGGTTCCTACTTTTCGTGCGCCGGAACTTCCGTTTCCTCCAGCCCTACCCTCTGATCATTCCAACGATTCCTCGTCAACTGATTCATTTTCTGATGCCTCTGCTCCGAATGATAACACCCCGGACTCTGTTATAATTGACAAGAACCCGGTTTCTCCGGCAACCGATTTCCCTAGTTATTCGCGGTTGATACATAGAATAGCTGCTGTCTTGGAGATGCCTGTCGAAAGGCCTCCGGAAATGGTTCCTGACAAAGTATATGGGGACATAGATGAGGACCAGAATTTACTGTACCTATGCGTCTGGCTTTCATCCCGTCGCTACTCAGAACCCTAAAGCAACCTTGGGACAAACCTTGTTCTACCCCCCAAATGTCCAGATGGGTGGAAAATTTATACCGTATTCAGGGGTCCGAATTGGACTTCCTTATTAAACACCCTACCCCTAACTCCTTGATCGTGGACGTTGCCCAGTCTAAGTTTCGACCCGCGTGAGCCACGTCTCCAAACAAGACGGATGGGAGGCAAATGGACATATCTGGCCGTCGTTCCTACGCCTTCTCATCTTTTGTCCTAAGGGCTGCTAATTATGTGGCCGCTATGGCAGCTTATCACCAGCAATTAAGAGGCCATGCAACTTATACATCAGGAACTAGTCACGGTCCGGCATATCTTGGATGCTGCGTCGCGCAACCTGATGACGAGCGTCGCAATGAGGAGACAGGCATGGCTTAAATCGGCAGCAATTCTGGAGGACTCCAAAGCCCGTATCCTTGACTTCCCTTTTGATGGCTCGGGTTTGTTCGACCCGAAAACAGATGAAATTCTAAAGGGTCTCCACGAGGCCAAGAAAGCTGCA